AGTAAGGGGACAGTGTGACATATGCTATTGTCATTTGCCCAGACCCCTCTGTGTCCCATTAGCTCCCAAATAATATTTTTATTGACATATCTTACTAATTCCAATCTATCCCTTTCCTTCCCATACAGTTCTGCTGTTCAATCCCATTGGATGGGCTATACAATCATCAATGCCATCAACTCCCTTCTCCCGCCTCCCTCCCCCACCTCTCTCACTTCCTGTGTCAGTGTCTGTTCTTGAGGGGTCATCTATCTTTTTGTTGTTGTTGTTATCTTTAAAACTGTCTTATTGGCATATAATCCACAAGTCATGCCATTCTGTAGTTCAATCACATCAAGGAGAGTTGTACAGCCATCTCCACGATCAGTTTCAGAATACTTTCTTCATTCTTACACTCATTATTAAGTCCCAAGTTTTCCCCAACCCGCCCTCCCATACCCTCAAGGAACCATTCATCCAGTTACTGTTTCTGTACATCTATCAATCCTGGATTTCATACACAGAAAACTTTGAAACAAGCCTACGAAAAAGCTAACAATAACAAAGTAAAACAGAAACCCCAATCAAAAAGAACATACTAAAATTTAGTCCAAATTTAAACTGGATCAAAAGGGAGATCAAATGATAAAGGTGTTAAAATTTAACCTAATGGCATCTGCAGTGATTCACTTTCCAGTGCCCTCTGCATGATAGCAAGGCTGTTGACATCTCTGCTCTGTGGCCAGAGGGGATTCACCAGAGCCTTGATCCATGTGCGGACCCTGTAACAAACTTTTAAATTTTTGAACAGTTTTAGCTTTACCGTCACTTCTATTTGTATTTCCCCTTTACCATTGCAAACCACTTTAAAAAAAAATCATTTTATTAGGGACTCATACAACTCTTATCACAATCCATACATACATCCATTGTGTCAAGCACATTTGTACGTATGTTGCCATCATCATTTTCAAAACATTTTCTTTCTACTTGAGCCCTTGATATCAGCTTCTCATTTTTCTCTCCCTACCCCATGAACCCTTGATAATTTATAATTATTTTTTCCTGTCTTACACTATCCAATGTCTCCCTTCACCCACTTTTCTGTTGTTCATCCCCCTGGGAAGAGGTTATAGATAGGTCATTGTGATCGGTTCCCCCTTTCTCCCCCTACCTTTCTCTTCCTCTTCTGGTATGGCTATTTTCAATACTGGTCCTGCTGGGTTTATCTGTTCTGGATTTCCTGTGTTTCCAGCTCTTATCTGTACCCGTATACATGCTCTGGTCTAGCTAGATTTGTAAGGTCGAATTGGGGTCATGATAGTGGAGGGAAGAAGCATTAAAGAATGAGAGGAAAGTTGTATGTTTCATCGGTGCTATCCTGCACCTTGTCTGACTCCTCTCCTCCACTTGACCCTTCTGTAAGGGGATGTCTGATTGCCTACAGATGAGCTTTGGGTCTCCACTCCGCACTCCCCCTTATTCACAATGATATGATTTTTTTTCTGGGTCTTTGATGCCTGTTACTGGATCCCATCAACACCTCATGATCACACAGGCCAGCTTCTTCCATGTGGGCTTTGTTGCTTCTCAGCTAGATGGCCTCTTGTTTATCTTCAAAGCTTTAAGACCCAAGATGCTATATCTTTTGATAGCCAGGCACCATCAGCTTTCTTCACTACATTTGCTTATATACCTGTTTTGTCTTCAGTGATCGTGTCGGGAAAGTGAGCATCATGGAATGCTAGTTCCCTTTGGTATCCCTCTTGGCTTGGCTTTCTTTTTTTCCTTGTCATTTTTATTTTCCATTTTTTGTCCTTTTCAGGATGGACTAACTTCACGCAGCCTAATGTTCTCCAGGTCCATTCTCACCACAAGGTGCTTCGTGGTTTCACCCCCCGGGGTTTCGTGGGTGGATTATCTCCCATGGTGTGCATGACTAGGGTTTCTTTGTCCATCCTTCTACCGATGGGCATGGAGGGGGTTTCCATCGTCTTGCTCTTGTGCACAGGGCCATGGTGAACACGGGCATGTGTGTGTGTCTGCTCCTGTTTTGATCTTGGAAACCCACAGGGAGGTGGGGGTGGGGGGAAATCAGCTATGAGTCGGCATTGACTCAATGGCAGTGATTTGGGTTTTGAATTATCAGCTTTAAATGTTTAAAGGCCATCTCTTGTAGACATTATATTGATTTTTTTTTTTAATGGGAGAACAGTTAGATCCACAAGGAAAGTGGATGAGAGCCATGGAAGTGGCTGTGTGTGTGTGTGTGTGTGTGTGTTTTGCTTGGTGGGAGCATTCCTTAACCTGGTGTTTCTCCACAAACTCACTCATTAGCTATGTTCATTCTCTCGTTGAACACACAGGGCCGCATGTGTCGGGTCGACCACTACCAACAACTGATGAAGCTCTTTTTTTTTCCCTAATAGACTTATCACATCAAATCTTAAGACGAAAGACATTGGACATTAAGAAAGAGGTCCGCCCCAGTCTTTCCAGACCAGGTGCAGTTTCACTTTTCTTCCTGTGTGTATTCTGCTAGCATACACACAAGACAGTGCCCCAGTTTCTGTAATTTTAGCACAGTGCTTATACAAGAAGGACCAATGAAGCTCTTTATGTAAACGTTCATCCCCATGAGCTCTAGTTGCTACGCCTTTCTAACCTATCTCTCACTCCATGTTCCCAGAATCCACCCACTGTGTTCGGCCTGCTTCCTTGATCAGGAGCCGGGTGGCCACAGATGCCATTTGGCTGTCAGAGAAAGAATCCGAAGTCCATTCCCAACAGAAGCTCCTTGAAGAAACCGAGGCCCCAAGAGGGGAAGGAGCTTGCCCGAGGCCCTAAAGTGAGCCCGCAGCCAAGGCAAACTGAAGCCCAGGACTATGGCTCCCAGGCCAGGAGTCGTTTGGTACCTGCCAGCTCAAGGCCAACTTCAACTACCTAGCTAGCCGTATCAAAGTCAAAGAACGTTCTCTTCCACCTCACAGCACAGACAGAAAAACAGTCCAGAAGGATGGTTGACGTCAGTATGCAAAGGCCAATGATAAAGCTTCCAGAAAGCGACATGGGAGAATAATCCACTGCTTTGAGGTAGGCAAACACTGTAAAAATAGAAAGCACTAATCAAAAAGAAAAACATTGATAAATTGAGCTGTTCAAGCTAAGAACGCTAACATTCACCAAAAGATACCATGAAGAGAGAGAACGAGGTTCCTTATAGCACTGTTTGCAGTAGTTAGATGGTGGAAACAGCCAAGCTGCCCATCAACAGAGGAGTGGATCAGCAAAACGTGGTCTGGAGCAGTGTTTCCCAAAGTGGGTGACACTGACCCAATGTGGGGGGCTGCGCTGGAATGACTGGGGCCAGGGCCACTACAAATGCAGTAACCTACCTTGCTCCTGGATTAAGGGCAACAGTACAGAAATCTTTCATTGTCAGGGGGGTAATTGCTGAGTAATTTTTTTTCCTGAGAAGGGGACAGTAAGTCTAGGCCATTTGGGGACCTCTGGTCTATACATATGATGGAATTTACTGGACTGTAAAGAAAAATGAAACTCTGATGTACCTAGGGGTGGGTGGGAGGGGAGGTAAGAGGGAGCTGATGTCAAAGAGCTCAAGAAGGAAGCGAATGTTCTGAAACTGATGGTGGTAGCAATTGTACGATGTTGCTTGATGTCATTGAACTGTGGAACCATATGGTACTAGAATCTGCTCCCAATAAAATGAGTTGGGAAAATCAATTAATTAATCAATAAAGGGGCTACTTAAGAAAAGAAAACACTATGGAGTGAACTAAGTCATAAGGGTAAAGATTATATGACCCTACTTATTTGAAATACCTGGAGTTGGCAAATGTATAGAGACCCAAGATTACCAGTGGTTATCTGGGACAGGAGGGGGGGAAGGAGGGCCTATTGCTGAGGGGGCACTGGGGTTCTGTTAAGTGTGAAGCAAAAGATTGGGAATCTTGATGGCATTCACTGTGAGTGTTTACTCTCCTGGCGGCCTTCCCTAAGCTGCCCCAGAATGGCCAGTTATCGTTGGTCATCACCAGGGCAAATAGTCCCAGGCTTATAAAGGTCTGGGGAGCCCTGCTGGGAGCATTGCAGCACTTCATTCCAGCATGTCTGTGGCCACGGGCCTGCCCAAGATCCTCTTCACCCTCTCCTGCTTGTGCCTTGGCCTGGGCTCCGGCCAGTACGCCCCGGACCTCATCACCTCTTTACCTGGCCTCTCTACAGAGCCCAACTTCCTACAATGGTCAGGCTACCTCCAGGCTGGCGAGGGCAAATACTTCCACTACTGGTGAGCAGCTAAGGGTGGGGGGTTCACTCTAGGAGGGTGGTGAAAGCCAACAGAGATTACTGATTCCCCAAAGCCCACAGCACCTTCCACTTGGCCAGAGAGGTGGGAGCTTTGTCACTTGGTCCCAAGTAGGTTACTTGGGGGTCCAGATCACCATCGAAGGTGGGTCTCCCACCTACTGACCTGCTGCTAGGTAGCCTCAGGGGCCCAAACAAGAACTTCAAAGCCAGTGAAGCTAAGTCATGGCCATAGGTTCTTAAATTCCAGCTCACGGAGAATGAGACAAATAAATAAGAACAGTGTGTGTCAGTAAACCCATTGGTGTTGAGTAGATTCTGACTCAGAGTAACGCACAGGTCTGACTCATGACTTCTATGACTCAGAGCCTTCAGCAGGACATATCATTGTGATCTAGAGGTTCTAAGAGATCCTTAGGAGCCCTGGTGGTGTAGTGGGTTATGTGATGGGCTGCTAGCCATCAGGTCCGCAGTTTGAAACCACTAGCTACTCCAAAGGTGGAAAAAAATGAGGCTTTCTACTCCCATAATGAAGTACAGTCTTGGAAACTCAGGGACAGCTCTGCTCTGTCCCATAGGGTCACTGTGAGTTGAATCTATTCAAATCTGGGAACCTATTCTATTCAGTGAGTTTGATTTGGAAGACATCGTTCTCCCAAGGAGTGACTGGTGGGTTTGAACCATTGACTTTGCAATTAGCAGCCCAACACCTAACCCACAACAGCACCAAAGCTGCTTATGTGTGAGCTGAAAGAAGCCCTGGCGGCACCTGGTTAAAGCACTTGGCTGCTCACTGAAAGGCCAGTGGTTCAAGCCCAGGAGCCGCTCTGTGAGAGAGAAGGGTGGTGGTCCACTTCCTCAACGACTCACAGCCTTGGAAACTCTGTCCTCAAGGCTCACTGTGAGCTGGAGCCAACCTGACAGCAATGGTTTGGGTTTTCAGTTTTAGGAGGTAAGTAGCCGTTCTTTCTCGGAAAAGACTGCCTTTTGTTATGTGCTGCCGAGTTTTTAATCTTCGAATTACTTTCCTTTGCAGAAGATCATTGAGACTGTTTCATGACAACAGTAGAAAGGAGTCTATTTGAAAAGTAAAATGCTTGCGCTCGCAAAATAAATATTGCAACTCTCTTTATAGAACCCTCAACCCAACTTTCCTTCTGGGGGGTTGGGGGCAGTGGGAAAGTTCAAAAATGTATTTATCCATGAAATCCTGACATTTGCGAACCTGCCCTAATTGAACCCCGTTTTACCATGGAGAGGGCTCCAGGGCTTAGTGCAGGAAGGTGACTTACTGGGCCATGAGCAGGGGCCACCGGCAAAAGTGGCATACGGGAGCCAGGCCCGCAGCCTCCCAGGCCAAGGCTTGGTCTCCTGTGCCAACCTGCGGTTTCCCTGTGGGGCCTCTGTCTCCTCACATTTCCCTGGTGCTCATTCGAGGTAGCCGGGCAGGCCAGAGAGACACCTAGGATTCCCCTCTGTCCTTTTCCCCAAAAGAACAGAGACTGGACAGGGACCAGACTTCAGAGAAGACACAGGCAGAACTAGTGTGTTCCCTTCCATTCACCATTTCCACAGGCCCTCCAGCCCCACCCCACCAGTCCCTGCAAGCAGGCTGTGGCCATGGGCAAAGGGCTCAAGGAGGCATTGCCAGGAGGGACCGTGGGGGGACCAGTATGGGCGAGGCTCTCCACAGTCCCAGGAGGCAACCACGCAGGCACCCATGGGCCCTGCGGCTCCTGCACACTCAGGTGTGGCCAGTACTTAATTGCTGCCATCATCTGCGTTTAGGTGTGGCCATTCACTGAGGAGGTCCCCGAGAGGAGCAAATGGTTTGCATTCCGCTACTAACCTCAAGGTTGGCAGTTCAAAGCCCCCCACCCCCACCCCGTGTGTACATGCCAAAAGAACCTCACATGACTCTGTAGTTTGCCAACCTCTGCGCTAGTAGGTAGACAATAACTTAAGAAAAGGGGAAGATCGTATGCTTCAAGAGGGAGAAAAGAAATCAAAGAGGTGTGTGTGTGTGTGTGTGTGTGTGTGTGTGTGTGTGTGTGTGTGTTAGGGCTAGCAATTAAGAGGTTTGATAAGTGGCTTAAGCCATTGACTATAAAACTGATTATCTTAAATGTAAACTCTCACTTAATTCACAATAAAAAGTTAGGGGGGGAAGCCCCCCCCCCAGTAGCACCTCAGAACACAGGTCTAGAGATCCACTTCTAGAAGGTCACAGCCTAGTGGTTCTCAACCTTCCTCATGCCGCGACCCTTTCATACAGTTCTTCGCGTTGTGGTGACTCCCCAACCATAAAATTACTTTTGTTGCTATTTTCATCACTATCGTTTTGCTACTGTTGTGAATCGGGCGACCCCTGTGAAAGGGTCATTTAAACCCCCCAAAGGGGTCGCGACCCACAGGTTGAGAACCACTGGCCTAGACCCTGTGGGACCCTCTAGTGGCCAAGACATACACTTGGCATTTTGAAACCAGGAGACAAGCAGGGGGTGAGGCCAGAGGTGATGTCGCTCAAAACCAAACTCATAGCCATCAAGTCGGTTCTGACTCATCATGACCTGACAGGACAGGGCAGAAGTGCCCTGGTGAGTTTCTGAGACTGTAACTCTTTAGGGTAATAGAAAGCCTCTCTTTCTCCTGGGGAGCAGCTGGTGGTTTTGAACTGCTGGACTTGTGGTTAGCAGCCCCTTGGGAAACCAGGATGGTACCAGGAGGGCCGTCTCTAGGTGATAGCAATCCTGGGGCTGTGGAGAACACAGGGAAATGGAAGGAAGGAGCACGCACCCCAAGCTGTCATCTCATTCTCAGGATCGCCAGGCTGGCTATCGTCTGTTTTACGTGCTGTTTCTGGTCAATGAGATGGCTCTCAGGGCGGAACAGAGGGGATTTTTTTGGTTTTGTTTTAAGTTTTCTGGCGTGCAGGCTCAGGGTTGAACTGTGGATAATGTATCCAGATAGTACTTCCAAGATTTGCCTGCCATTCCAAAAGCAGAAATGGATATCACCTCGGGCACTTGATAAGCATAAGAAATCCCAGGTCCCTCCCAGATCAGCATATCCTAGATGGGTCCTGGAATCTGAGCCCTTTAAGAGGAAATTCCAGGAATTTCCAGGAAATTCGTTCTTGTTCTGGGGAAAGTTTGAAACACTGAATGGTGGCATTCTTAGCCACGCCCAAGAGAGACATCTTCTGACTGTAGCTTAGAAGATAAAGGGAGACTTCCATCAGCTGCAGCTGAAATCTGAGCCTGGGACCAGCAGTCCACCTGTGTAAGCCTCTCTACCCAGTCCTATAGGGTCGCTATGAGTCAACTAAATGGTGGTGAGTTATAGTCAGGCAAGCCCCCGCTCTGCCCTCCATCCCCACACAGAGGCTGATGGATGACCTTACCTTTCTATTGTGGGTGAAATTGTGTGGGGCTCCCTGACCCCACAAAATGTTCAAGTCAAACCCTTCTTACTTGTGAATATAACCTTGTGTGGAAATAGGGTCTCCTGAAGCTCTTATCCGTTAGCATTAGGTCCTACTCGTATAGATGGCATTGAAATGCAACCTGAGTGGTGTCCTGTGGAAGGAGGAGAAGAGACTCACAGTCAAGGCAGTCTATGCTGATGAGGCAGAGCTTGGAGTGATTGGCAGGTCAAGGAAAGCCAAGGATCCCTGGCTGTCACCACAGCTAGGAGACAGGCATGGAACAGATGCTCCCTCAGAAGGAACCCACTTGGCAATGCCTTGGCTTTGGACTCTTCATCCCCAGCAGGATGAGGCAGTGCACATCTGTCCTTGTAACGCCTGTGAACAGAAGCACCGCCTGCCCCCAGAGGTCAGGGTGATTTCTCTCCAGTCTCATGTCCCCACCATAGTGCCAGAAAGTTCTCTACAACTGACTCTAATCTTCCAGCTGCAAGCTCTCCCCTCTGTTCCCAATGCACCCCAGGACCCTGAAATCCAACTCAGGATGACCTAGGCCAGCACCCTCTCCTATCTGCCCTTCTGTGGTCCTTTCCCTCTCTGACAGCTTAGACTGTCCTCTGTTTTTCCCTTGGGCGGCTAACCATCAGGGCATCAGTTGGAAACCGCCAGCCATTCTGAAGGAGAAAGAGGAGGCTTTCTATTCCCGAGAAGAGTTATGTGGCAGTTACATCATCTCCTGTCAACTTGCGAAGGGGTGGAGTCTAGCCGTCAATCAGGTCATAGTCAATGAGGCCTCTGTGTGGGCATGACCTTCTCCTGAGGATTCTAGGAACTCCTGTCTTCCTCCCTGGAGGCGGGACACACACTCTCTCCCTGTGAGACATTCCTGTTGACAAGTCAGATGGAGCTGCACTGATGGAGCCAGAGTCCTGGAGCTGGTGGAGCCACGTGGAGACCCACACCAGTGCTGAGATGCTTCTACCACCACTGGATCCACAAGACCTCCCACTCACTGGCCTGTGATCTTCCTGCATTTGGCGTCATTGCATGTGTTGTGTGAGTCTGAAGAGGAATTTATAGACTGGTATCTGACACATGGGTTAATATCGGGCTTATGGACTTGATCTGGACTGGGCTGGGATGTTCTCTTAATATACATTTACTCTTTGATATAAAGCTTTCTCGTACACATATAAGTCTTCCTGGGTTTGTTTCTCTAGTCAACCTGGACTAACACACGTTACAATCTCGGAAACCCACAAGGACAGTTCTGTTCTGTCCCAGGGGGTCGTTCTGCATTGGAATCAACTAGATGACAGTGAGCAAGTCCTTTCTTTTCTACTTCCTTATCCCAAGGTTGTCCATTGAAGTCCTTCTTCGTGTGCTTATGTTTGAAAAAAAGAGAAATCGGTTAAAAACTGAACCCCATAACATCTAGATCTCCAGCATTCCTGAGAAACGACAACGCCTGGCAGCATGGAGCCTGGTCCCTGCCTGGTAACCACCGGCTCTGGGTTCACGACAGCGCCATCCCAGCAGGCAGCTCCCCTCATGTTTGTTTCTGGCCTCACCCCTGAGTTCACCCGGGATTTCCACCTCCCTGGGGAGTCAGCAGTTGGAAAACACCTGCCGTTCCTTGGGAGAGAGATGAGGATTCTATTCCCGTGAAGTTTTAAAGTCTCAGAAACCCCAACGGCAGTTCTACTCTGTCCTGTAGAATCGCTATGAATGTGAACTGGCTGGTTGGCAGTGAGCTGGGTTTTGTTTTGTTCTTGGAGCGCTGGATGAAGGAGCCCCTGCAGCATAGTGGTTAGGCTCTCACATGCTAACCAAAAGGTTGGCAGTTCGAACCCACCAGCCGCTCCATGGGAGAAAAACATCGCAGGCTCCTTCCTTAAAGATCACAGTCTTGGGAATGCTCTGAATTGGTTCTAGTCTGTCCACTAGGCTCACTATGAATCGGAATCGCCTGGAGAGCCGTGGGTCTGGCTTTTGGGGACCACTCCTTCTCTTCACTCTTTGCCCACCCTCATCAAGCAGGAGGTCAGGAAAGACTCACTGTTCCTTCAAACTCTGCTCACAGTGCAAACTCACAGCTGCTCTCTCCAAGTCAAGGCCTCAGTTTCCCTTGCTCTACAGGGTAGGTGTGTGGGGTTGGAACAGATGAGTGCGGAGGTCTTTTTGATGCAGAGACTCTGTGGCTCCCGCCGGGGCTTACCACTAACAGCCCTGTCCACACCACCTTTCCCATGCTCACCCTCCCCCATATGGTTGATGGGGCTGATGCCAGGCCAAGAAACAGCTGCAGAGACCAAGGCAGCTGGAGTCCTCAGTGAAGGGCC